AGAGAGAGAGAGAGAGAGAGAGAATTATATTATTAATGTTCCTATAATGCTACCCTACAGAAATAACTATTTATTTTTATAGTACTATTTTCTCTACCTACACAAATATAATTGCATCCCAATATCTGTGTACCATAGATTACCTTTTGAAATCAATACTCAATAACATCCTTTTTAACTCTGGCATAATATTTCACTGTAAAGATATTCTCATCAATTTAAATGGAGTAATATTTATAATCCCACAAAATACAAAAATAGGAAAATATATTAAGCTAAATAACTCCTTTTCCACTAGATTTCACAAATTTTTTTTACATATTTATTTTTTAGTTGTAGTTGGACATAATACCCTTATTTTATTTACTTATTTTTATGTAGTGCTAAGGGGCCTTGCAGGTGCTAGGCAAGTGCTCTACCGCTGAGCCACAACCCCAACACCTAGATTTCACAATTTTGTTTCCAGATATAATTGCATGAAATAATCATAAAGAAAACCATTATAGGGCTAGGGTTATGGCTCAGTAGGAGAGTACTTGCCTGGCAAAGTGTGAGGCCCTGGGTTCAATCCTCAGTACCGCAAATAAATTAATTAATTAATAAAATATCCATTGATAACTAAAAAATATTTAAACAAACAAACAAAAAAAAACCACTCTGGGCTGTGGTTGTGGCTTAGTGGCAGAGCACCTGCCTCGCACGTGTGAGGCACTGGGTTCAATCCTCAGCACCACATAAAAATAAATAAACAAAATAAAGATATTAAAAAAAAAAACCTACATGGTCTAGGTTTCTTATAAAAAAAAAAACCACTCTGATCTTGAAAGATTCAATCACTTCCTAAAATTATCTGAACCTCAAAGAGATTTCCAAAACACATGAATAACAGTCAAAAAATTATTCTTAAAAAACAGACAATGCTTCAAGTTTCCTCTATGTGCACCATGAATCATAACTTCACTCCTTTTCATAAAGATCATGAGTTCAAAGCCAGCCTCAGCAAGAGCGAGGCGCTAAGCAACTCAGTGAGACCCTGTCTCTAAATAAAATACAAAATATGACTGGGATGTGGCTCAGTGGTTGAGTGAGTTCAATCCTCAGTAACCCACAAAAAAATAAAATAACATTATTTCACACGGACAAACCACATTTTATTATCCATTCCCCATGTCATAGACATTTGGATCATTTCCTTTTTTGGGCTCTTCTGAATAATGTGCTATGAACTTATGTACAATTTTTAAATAAGTAAAGCTTTCACTTCTCCTGTGCATAACCCCAGCAGTGGAACTGCTGGGTCATGTGGCAACTCTTTAACTTTTTGAGAAACTGTCAAACTATTATCCAAAATAGTTCAAAGAAGTCTACCTTTCCCAACAGCAATGTATAAGGATTTCAATATATTCACACCTTCACCAACACTCAATTACATTATGCTAAATTCTGTTAATTATTAAATATTATTCTAAGTCATTATATCTTTTTTAACTATAGCCACTCCAGTAGATGTGAAGTAGTGGGAGGTTTTTTAATATTTATTTTTTAGTTTTAGGTGGACACAATATATTTATTTTACATTGATGTGGTTCTGAGGATCAAACCCAGTGTCTCATGCATGCTAGGTGAGCACTCTACCACTGAGCCACAACCCCAGGCCCAGTAGTGTGGCTTTGATTTGACTAATTATTGAGCATCCTCTCACCAGCTGGCCATTTCTGTATCTTCTCTGGCAAAACCCCTATTCAGATCATTTGCCATTTCTTTTTTTTTTTTTTTTTTTGATACTAGGACTGAACCCAGGAGTGCTTAGCTACTGAGCCACATCCCCAGCCCTTTTCATTTTTTATTTTGAGACAGGATTTCACTAAATTGCTAGGGTATTGCTAATTTGTGATCTTTATGTCCCAGCCTCTCCAGTAGCTTGGCAAGCTCCACAATGACCAGCACCAATTTTTAACTGAGTTATCTTTTTTTTTTTTTTTTTGGTGCTGGGGATTACACCTAGGGTGCATGCTAGGCAAGTCTCTACCACTGATCTGCACTCTCAACCCAAAGTTGTCTTTCATGTTAAGTTTTAAGAATTCTTTAAGTGGGTTTCTAAGGTTCCTTATTCCATTCTCTGTTTGACTATATTATGTTCAACATCTAGCTGGGTTCAGTAGAAACAAAACTTAAAATCAGTAGAAATCACAGTTTGCACTGATATAGCAGGATCAACAAGTAACACAGAGAAGTGTCTCAGAAACTTACGTAAGATTGAATTTGAAATTGAACTGCCAGGTATTAATTCCAGAAGGATATTCTCCCTTCTCATTTGTGAATGTAAGGCCCAGCTGGATAATTTTTAAAAGGTCAACATTGCACCGCAGAAGCTGATACTGGTAATCTATGGAACTACGAAATTCACCAATTGGTCGGACCACAACACCGGGAAATTCTGTGTCCTAGAAAAGGAAAAAGTCTCTCATTAGGTTTCACAAATTGATAATTCAGAAATACAAATTTACATCAATAAAATTTTGCTTCAATATATAAAAGTTATGAGATAAACCCCACACTTGGGCACAAAAAAATCTATTTTGAAATAGTGATCTTTTTATATCTACTGAAGAAGCACTAGAATCATAAAGCTTTGCACAACTATTTAAAAATCCTAAGCAGCTGGATGCAGTAGTCCATGCCTGAGTCCCAGTTACTCCAGAGGCTGAGGCATCAGGATTACAAATCAAGGTCATCTTAGCAACTTAGTGACACTCTATCTCAAAATAAAAAACAAAAGGGCTAGAGATATAGCTCACTTGTAGAGCACCCCTGGGTTCAATTCCCAGTAGTGCACAATAAATAGATAGATAGATAGATAGATAGATAGATAGATAGATAGATAGATAGATAGATAGATAACCAACCAACCAAGGCAGGATGTAAGTACAAGTAGTTGTTGGATATCTACAGAGAGTTAATCAATTAAGAACATTCTTTTAAAAAAATTCTAGATTGATAGTTAACCCATGAATTAAAATAGAAATACAGGGAAGTGACATAGCCTCTCAGAAAAAAATAACAACACCACATTTATCTTGAATAAAAAGACTGAACAGAAATCACAGAGTTCTGAACACCAGGCTAAAGACTTAACCATATTACCTTTAAAACAGGAGTCACAAACTCCAGGTAATTTACATAAAAGAATAAACCAAGCTAGCTAAGAAAACAGTAAGGACTCGGCCAAGTGCGGTGGCGCACACCTATAGTCCCAGCAGCTTGGGAGACCGAAGCAGGAGGATCCCCAAGTTCAAAGCCAGCCTCAGCAAAAGCAAAGCTCTAAGCAACTCAGTGAGACCCTGTCTCTAAATAAAATACAAAATAGGGCTGGGGATATGGCTCAGTGGTCAAGTGCCCCTGAGTTCAAACCTCAGAACCAAAAAAAAAAAAAGAAAGAAAGAAAGAAACAACAACAAACCATGGGCCCTGGAGTAAAATAGAGAGCACATGCCTCTCTACAAGAGGAATTCCAAGATACCCTGTCCTCTCCAGCCACTGGATGTCAGGCAGGAATGTGTACATACCATCTATTTCCAAATCTTCATTTTTTTTTTCTAGAGATGCCAGAAATCTGGAATTTAAGTGAGGGCTTATGATTTTTAAATTCTAGAAACAAACCTTCAAAGACACTATAGTCAAATTCACCATATCACTGGAATAGTGATATGGGCTGATACAATTTCTGCTTTAACTTTTCAAACAGTTATATTACAGAGTACACCCTTCTCAGAGACCCACTGGTCACTCTCATGTTTCATAAAAACAATACAAAACTCTATGAAGTTTAACTTACCAGGGCTTTACAGAAATATAATAATTTCTTCTCAAAATTTCACGTTAAACATTCTTGAGTCCACACAAGAAAGTAAATCAAATAGAATAGTGCTCCTTACCATTGCAATGTAACTGTAACTGAGCACAATTTCTCGGATCTTCCTCATCTCTTCTTCTAGATTGTTGGCCCATACTTCACAGATAACCTGGCTATTCTCCACAAGTGCTGCAGGCATCCTGAAGAAACCTGAGAAGTCACTTTTAGCTAACTAAGTGAGAAAGTAATCCAATGTTTGATCTGATCTAGATATAAAAACATATTTTGAAATCAAGTAAGTTAGTACAATAGTATGTCAACAAAAATAAAAACATCAAAACAACATTTTGCCATAACTTCATTAGTTTAAGCTAAAAGGATAAAATAAGCATATTTATTTTCCATTTTATATGACAGGAAAGCTTGCCTTTGTCAAGACAGACAAACATGAGCACAGGCACACACAAAATTTCTGTAACCTGAAGAAACTAAAGTTATTGAAGGACATATGCCCAAATTGTCTTTTAGCACAAAATTGAATACACTACCTTAAACCAGTTTTTCAGCACTTTGCAGACTTCTAAAGATTAACTATTCCCTTGGTCCACAAATATGCCCTTTTCCATGACTTTGACGTTACTTTGCACAAAGATCAAATCATGGAAATATTTCTTAAGGAATCACTTTAGCCCTTTAAATGTACTTGCAATCTCTGAAAGCCTAAAATAACAAAGGGAGACCTAAACTCTCTCATTCAAGTGTCCACACTCCTGTCTTTGCACTCCTGATGAATAAGAAGGACATGGGACTCCTTTCATTCTCCAAAAAAGGAAATTATTTTTCCCCACAATCCAAGTCAAATACGACTGGAGACAATGAAATCTTTAAATTTATGCAACTACATTATAAAAGGTAGGCTGTAAACAGTAAAAATCAAGTCTACTTGCTAATTTGAAACCTTAAAAACCACAATGAAAATCAAAATTTAAGTTACTAATGTCTAGTTTTAAATATATAATATTGTTTAAAAAAAACTAAATAGCAATTCAACAGTAAGAAGAGAGGAAGGCAGGTATACATAATTTATGGTATGCCTCCAGGATGAAACTAGGGAAGAGAAATATTCTAAAGACAAAATTAAAAATCATGTAGCCTCAGGGTAATGCTATTATTGCAATAAATGCCACATGAGAGGGTTCAGTGATAGAGCTCATGTTTAACATGTTCAAGGTCCTGGATCAATCCCAGCACCACAAAAAAACTCAAAAAGCATACTATGGCCAGGTACAGTGGACCACACCAATAACCCCAGCTACTCAGAAGGCTGAGGCCAGAGGATCACCAGTTTGAGATTAACAGACAGGAAACATACAGACATGAATAGCGGGAACATGGGGTTAAAGGAATAATTCTGTAAAATGACCCCTATGTGCTTTCTTTTCCAAAAAGCAATTTATCCATAGACCCATCTGGCTAAACTGGACAGAATATATCACATTCCTCAGCAAACTACCTGTTATCTGCAGGAGAAATGAAGGCCCAAAATAATGTCAATAAGAAGAACTCAAATTACTTTGAAGATGGGGAAGGGACTTTTGTGACCCTTTCACAGACAAGACTCCAGAATTCAGGAAAATAAGGATAATACCCCCTAACCATAAAATCTGTAAGAACAGGTTCCAATTAGAACTGGTCAGCATGGGTCAAAGTGACCTACAGTGGTCATGGCAGTAGAAACTTAAACGTATGATGTCATTTCACTGTCAGTCAAAAGAGAGTCCTAGGCAGGACTCTCTGGAAACTTCTCTGAGATCTCAATAAATGTGGAAAGCTGTTGTCTGAAAGGAAGCACTCTCTCCCTTGAGAGTATCCCCGTTCTCTTTTTCTATCCCTACAATAAATTCAGGCCTGTTACTCTGACCTGTCTGAAATCTTTCTGACTTGATCACAAGAACCAGGATTTGAAAGGAGGCCTTCTTGCTGCCTCAGTATCCCAGAAGGCCCCAGTCCTATAACAAGACCATCCTGAGCAACATACAAGGTCTCATCTTAAGGGAAAAAAAAAAAAAAAGACCAAGTAAGAAGCTTATTCTAAGGGCCTTTGCTTTTTTTTAATTTATATATTGTATTAGTTGTTGATAGACCTTTATTTTATTCATTTATTTATTTATTTATATGAGTGCTGAGAATCAAACCTATTGCCTCACACATGCCAGTCAAGTGCGCTACTGCTGAGCCTGAGCCTGAGCCCCAGCCCCAGCCCCTTTACTTTTAAGGCAATCCCATCACATGAATCCAAGAACACAATATAATAGTGGGTTCTAGTGTTTATATTCAGGGCATTTCCTTGAAACAGCAAAATGAATGTGAATGGTTTCCAAAGGACAGAGCAAGAAAAATCTTTGCTGTCTTCTATAAGACTGGCAGATGGAACTATGAGAATCTGGAACCAAACAAAATGGCACTGTCAAACATCAAGAAACCAATCTACTACTTTGTCAACCATCCTTTAAGAACATTTATTCAGGGCTGGGGATGTGGCTCAAGCGGTAGCGCGCTCGCCTGGCATGCGTGCGGCCCAGGTTCGATCCTCAGCACCACAAACAAAGATGTTGTGTCCGCCGAGAACTAAAAAATAAATATTAAAAATTCTCTCTCTCTCAAAAAAAAAAAAAAGAACATTTATTCAAGGTGTCCTACACTTATACACGTTTTTCCAAAAGTACACTTATTAAATGTAAGTAGACTATATGATATCTCCCCAACAAATATAGAGAGAAACTTCTTAGATGAGAATCCATTTATTCTTGTTTTTTGTTTTATTAAAAGCTAATAAATTAACTGATAAAGACAAAAAGAAAGAAGTTAAAACTGAATGTGAAGGAATTCCACTATTTGACCATAATTAAGAACATGCTCGGAATTTTAGATTTCTAACCATGCTTATGATTTTCCCCTGCAAAAGGAGTTAAAACCATTTTCCATCCCCATTTTTAATGTTCAATCAGTACCACTTCCTATTTCCCTCACTGAAAAGTATACTTCCTTTCTGGTGTCATTTCAAAGACAACTTATTTAGGGGAAGTGGGTATCAGTATAGGGTTTGTTTAGTTTTAGTTTTTGTTTTTTCCAGTCTGGAGTTTTTGGGAGATGTTTCCACCCAAGCAAAAAGCAAAAGCAACAAAAGAGAAAGAGGCCAAAAAAATTTAAAAAAAAAAAACAGAAAAAGAAAAAAATTTGGCCTTCATTTTATCAATTTGTTATTAAAATGCTATGCTAACCACTGTTTTTAAAAATGCCATTATTATACATATATGACAAATTGGGACTACACAAGAGAACACTGGCAAAGGCAAGACAAGAGGATCAAAAGGATCACAAATTTGAGACCAGCCTCAGCAACTTAGCAAGGTTCTCAGCAACCTAGGGAGACAGGAGACCCTATCTCAAAATAAAAAATAAGGACTGGGGATGCAGCTCAATGGTAAAATGCCCCTGGGAAATCTCCAATACCCCCCCCCAATTGAATCTGTAAGACACTCTTGCATCAAATCTTTAGCTAGAAAATCTGTGGGGAAATAAATGATAGCTTCCAAGTCCCTAAATGTACCACTAAAAAACAAGACATGTCACTCAATGGACATTTAACTTACCAAGTCAAATTACTGAATGTAATGTAATGTAAAAAGGTGAGAGAAAGAGCAAATGAATACCAGCAACTGGCCTGCCACTTTCCACTCAGTGAACATCTGCTCCAAAATGAGTCTGAGACAGGAACTACAAACATGCTGTTTTGGGGGGTTTAATTTCCTCGTTTTAAGCGTCTCAATACCAGCATTTCACAGGCAGAATGACTCCATGCCTTTCAAATATTTGTAGAGCACAACCCCTTAAAGGTAACCTAAATACTTTTCTGGGTTACAACCAAAGAAACAGTAACAAGTTTCAAAACAGAAGAAAAAAATCTGACAGCGCTGGATATACTCAGAAATAAAATGGCAATTACAAACTTTGCACTTTCCTAAGAAATTTTTAAAGAAAATGATTTTGATCACTAAGCAATGTTTGCCTTACAAGCTAACATCAAAACCTGACTCCCACGTGAGCTACATATGAAACTTAAAAAAAAAAAATGTTCACAAGCAGACACAAACATGCACACACAAAATCAATCACCAAGATCCCTGCCTTGTGCTGACCCGCACAGTCATCTGCTCAGGTCGCTCCTGATGAACTGTAATGTAAACTCCTAAACACGAGTTTCTTGCTCATCCAGGAAACCTTTGAAGAACAACTCATGATAAAGCCAGCAAGCAGCCAGTTTCCCATGCAAGCAGTCCAGAGTACCAGGCTTGCTTGGGAAAAGGACATTTATATGTGCAAGGAAAAAAAATAAACATCACTTCGCTAGACTGAACCTCCCCACAGAGCACTGAACAAAGGTTTTGCCGTGCGTAGACAGACGAAAAAGGAAGTGGCAGACGCACGGTACAAAGAGCGGCACCAAGGGCTGCCGCTGACCTCCGTCTCCTCACTGCATCTCCCAAAACAGTGTCCGAAAACACAGCCCTGAAAACCGCAGTTCAGTTCTTAAAACGGCCGAGGGCTCCAAATCTGTGCACTGGCGTCTCCAAAATGGCTCTGATTCACAAAGCCAAAGAACAGCAAAGAAAAGTGAGGCCGCAAGAACTAAAGAGGAGGGGCAGCGAGTTAGAAGGGGGAGGCCCGCAAAGTTCCAAACTCGGGTCAGCTCCCCTACTCCCGCCGTCATTCTCTTCCAGTTCAGGGTCACCCTTCCACTTTGAACCATACTCTCCCACTCACCCCGCCCTGCCCACCGCGCTTCTAGCACCTCATTCCTTTTTGTCTCCCTTGGTAAGGCAAAGACTTAAACATTACAGGCCTTAGGGCCAGACAAGCCCAAATTCAAAGCCTGACCATGTACTGGCAGTGTGGCCCGGAATAAACTACTTAACCTCTTACTCCTCAGTTTTCCCATCTTGAACAATGGGTCTGAAAGCAGCATGCACTCGGAAGACTGCATTAGTGGCTACGTAGAATGAAGGATATAAGGGTACTCCGTAAAGTCCTGGCATATATCACTAGAACATGACTGTTGTGCTGGCTATTACTACTACTATTCGACGGGCTTCTGCCCCTTCTCAGGAATCTTGCCCCACACACACGCCCCCACTCTGCTCCCACCCACAAGGCCCCTGACCTCCCACACTGCTTCATCTTTACGGTCATCCGTCCAGTAAGGGGTTCCGACTTACCCTGACTGTCAGCGCCCGCTAAGCGCGGGCAGCAGTAGCGGCAGCGGCAGCAAGCCCTAACCCTGCGCTCTCCTCCCTCTGCCCCGGATCTGTTCCTAGAACCTAGCGGGCCAGTGAGATAGGCGCACTCGTTCCCAGAGCGGCCTTACGTACCGCCCAACCAACAACCTGGTAGTGTCACTCTATCCGCCCGATCCTCCCGACTCGCCTGCTCTCTTGCGTCACTCCAGGGGCGCGCGCGCGCGCCGGATCACGCCGGCTCCTCCCTTTTTGCGCGCCCCAGTGATTCCGTGCATGTTCTTTCAGCTCGTGAACTAGCGGGTAGAACTGCGCAGGCGCTGGAACAGCCGCGCGCCGTGAAAAAGGTGGGGAGGAAGACGCATGCGGAGGACGGCTGGCTCTAGTCCGCGCGATTAGCGGCCCAAGTTCTTCGATTCCTACTCTATTTAGCTTGTCCTTCCGCGCGCCCAAGGAAGAGGCGTGGCCTACAACTAGTCCCCCACCAGTGGGCGTGGCCTAGGGAGACCTAAGGCCTAGTGAAGGGTGTGTCCCCTCCAACTACATCCCCCAGGTTACAACGTCCCCTCCTCCCTGCTTTAAAGTACCATTAAAATCCTTGGCAGGAGGGGACTTAGTTTGCGGGTGTAGCCCGGTCGCGCCCTCTGTATTAACGCAGCCCCCAGGCCCCTCACAAAACCTCTACCTCACGGATTCTTTCTGGCAAACGGTTGGGGGTGGGGCGGCACTCCCAAACCGAGTCTGGGCGACTGCCAAGGCCCACCTCCTGCGAGGAGCGTTCCCATAGCAACCGGCTCGCCCCGGCCCGCCGGAGCACAAAGACGTCTACGCCTTCGGGATCAGGCATCGCCCCGGCTTCCGAGGCGCCCCAAGGTGGGCGCGACGCCGAGCAGACGCACTGAGCTTGGTTGCTAGAGCTGCGGGGCCCAAGCGGACCTAGGAGGTCTCACCCTCGACCCTCTTTCAGTCCTGGCTGGAGAAAGGTCTTTTTGCCAGCCCTGCCCTTGGCAGCGTTTGGCCAGGCTGGGTCGCACCACTGCGGGGAGCTTGGTGGAAAAGAAGACAAAGCACTGACTCGGCGCACGCAGCTGTTTACAGCCGACCACCCTCACAGTCGCTCCTGCAAGACCCCGCCCCTGTCCGCGAGAGGGGGCGGGGCGCCCCTCCACACCCACTGTCTAGTCTTAGTCCCAGGTGCCTCAAAAGGGACGTTGGTATGCCTGCAGCAACTATACCCCTAGTGCCTGCCTCCCGCTCACTCCTGCACATTGCACAATTCTCCCTGGTTTGATTCTCCAAAATCGTAATTCCTTTGCCCATGCTGGATGCCAGCTTGGCCTTAAGCAGCAAATGGCTTCCCTAAAGCTATTCTCTGGGGAAAAGAGCCCCACCCCCAGCCTCCTGGATTAGAGCGTCACAAGCATCACAAGATCACATGTTCTTGCTTTTCATTCTTTTTTGATTTTTGTTTGTTTTTTGTTTTGTTTTTTGCCGGGGATTGAACCCAGGGGTACTTTAACAACTGAGCCACATCCTCGGCCCCTTTTTAATTTTTATTTTGAGACAGGCTCCCTAAATTGCTGAGTCTGGCTTTGAACTTGGGGTCCTTCTGCTCAGCCTCCGAAGATATTGGGATTACAGGCATCTGCCACCACCCCAAGTGTCACATGCGATTTCTGAACTGAACTCCTTCCCTCCAAATGAGTGTCATGTTCCCTTAACTATAAAATAGGGACAAAAATGACTCTCTCCCAAAGTTGTGGTGAAGATTAATAAATGGAGGAGACACCCTGCAAAAAGGAAGAAAAATAAATAATGGTATCTGGCCTGTCTCAGTCTGTTCTCTGAAACAGTCAATGTTCATTAGCTCAGCTGCAAGGCACAGCCATTCTGTTGAGGCATGTTAGGGTGGAGAAGGCAAACAAGACAGCTGCCCACTGTCAGTTCTATGGGTTTCTAATGTCCTTTTCACCCACTTGTAATTAGATTCAGTAAAGAGTAGCCCTATCAGGTGGGGCAGTCCTAGGCCTGATATGCACTGAAACAGTCAAAACAGGAAACACCATCTCCATCCCCTCCACCACCTCTCTCCTAGAACTGAATGTTCCTTTTTCATTACTGGAGAAAAGTATAAACCAAACCTAGATGGATTATATTTCAGGAGGCACTGTAGAATTACATTATAGACAATGGTTTTTATATTATACTCATGCTATGGCAAAATTAGAACATTTGTGGCTGAATAGCTAATAAAAATAAATAAATAAAAATTATCAAAAAAAAAAAACCAATTGTGGAAATCAGTGATTCTTAATGGAAGAAAGGCCCCAAACCACTGAGAGAGTAGTTGGAAATGAGTTAAATAACTTCATATGTGGAGGGGGAAAAAAGTATTGTCATTGAACTACAAACTACATAGTAAGGTATGACAATAATAAATGCTGGAGAGGTTGTGGAAAAAAAAGGAACACTTTTGGGCTAGGGTTGTGGCTCACAGCTTACCTAGCAGGTATGAGGCACTGGGTTAGATCCTCAGCACCACATAAAAAAATAAAATAAAGGTATTATGTCCACATATAACTAAAAAATAAATGTTTTTAAAAGGGAGCACTTTTATGCTGTTGGAAGTATTGTAAATTAATACAACCACTATGGAAATAAGTATGGAAGTTCCTCAAAAGACTAGGCATGGAACCACCATATGACTCAGCTATAATACCTCTCGGTATTTTTCTGAAGAATTAAAGTCATACATGCATACCACATTTATAAGGGCATAATTCACAATATGGAACCAGCCTAGGTGTCCATCAACAGATAGATAAATAAAGAAATTGTAGTATACATATTGAGCCATAAATAAAAAAGAAATTGGGCTGGGGTTGTAGCTCAGTGGTAGAGCCTTTGCCTAGCTTGTATGAGGACCTGGGTTCAATTCTGAGTACCACATGTAAATAAATAAAGATCAATTGACAACTAAAAAAAAAGAAAAGTGAAATTGCTGGACTCAGTGGCACACATCTGTAATCCCAGTAGCTTGGGAGCCTGAAACAGAAGGATCGCAAGTTCAAAGCCAGCCTTGGCAACAGTGAGGAACTAAACATGCTATACATGCACTTTACCACTGAGCCAAACTCAGTGAGACCCTGTCTCTAAATAAAATACAAAATAGGGCTGGGGATGTGGCTCAGTGGTCGAGTGCCCCTGAGTTTAATTCCTGGTAAAATAAAAAAATAAAAAGTACTGTGTCTCTCTACAACTAAAATAATTTTTTTTTAAATGGGTCTTCTTAAAAACCAGTCATGGGCTGGGGTTGTAGCTCAGTGGTAAAGTGCTTACCTAGCATGTGTGAGGCATAAATTAAAGGTTAATTGAGGGGCTGAGGCTACGGCTCAGCGGTAGAACACTTGCCTAGCATGTGTGAGGCACTGGGTTTGATTCTCAGCACCACATATAAATAAATGAATAAAAATAAAGGTCCATGCATCCAAAAAACAAATTTAAAAAGAACAAAAAGGTTAATTGACATCTAAAAAAAATTTTTTTAAATAACCAGTCAGGTGATATTCTTGGTCAGCCAAGCCTTCCTATTATTCCCAATTCTAAATAAACCTAGCAGGATGAACTTCTTTATATATATATATATAGAGAGAGAGAGAGAGAGTTATTGGTGGGCCTTTATTTTATTTTATTTATTTATTTATATGAGACGCTAAGAATCAAACCCAGTGCCTCATGTATGCTAGGCAAGCACTCTACTTCTCAAAAGTACAATATATAGGAAGATAAATATAAATATAGGAAATTACATATGTTTGTGTGATTAAGTACAGGAAAATAAATATTTAGAACATTTATTTGAGTTTGAAATATTTTTGAAAATGGGGCAGAAGGCAAATGATTTCAAGTTAATAACAAAAAGAAGTCATTCTCTGTGCTCACATTTCAAAAACCTGTTGATTCATTCCATTTTTTTTCTTTTTTGTGGGGGTGCGGGGGAGTGTACTAGGTATTGAACTCAGGGGCACTCGGCCACTGAGCCACATCTCCAGCCCTATTTTGTATTTTATTTAGATAGGGTCTCACTGAGTTGCTTCGTGCCTAGCTGTTGCCGAGGCTGGCTTTGAACTTGTGATCCTTCTTCCTCAGCCTCCCGAGCCACTGGAATTACAGGTGTGTGCCACAGCACCCGGCTACATTTTTTTTTTTTAATTTAAATTCCTGTCCCCTCCTCTCCTCTCCTCCCCTGGCATAGACAAATCTGTCACTTTTTATAAAGCTGTCTTTCAATAGATTTTATTTTATTTTTTTAATGTGATGCTGAGAATTGAGTCCAGTGCATCAGGTATGCTAGGCAAGGACTCTACCACTGAGCTACAACCCCAGCCCCTCAATAGATTTTATATTTGTCTTACAATAGAACTGTGGAAGTCCCCAGTGGCTTTTTTTTTTTTTTTTTTTTTTTGTAGTTCCTGCTTTTGAAAGTGTGTTCCTGTTTTTCCTACATAATAGAAAAAAGAAAAACTCTTCTGGCTCTTGGAAATTATCCACAGACCATCAAAATTCCCCTAAAAATAGAGCAAATGTTATGTTTCATAATTAAGCATTTGAGCATTATTTTGATTACAATCAAAAACACTTTCTGATCTCTAATGATTTCATGCCTTTGAAGAGTTTTTCTAATCCGTTGTTTGGTTTTCGGGTTGGTTGTAGGGAATGAACCCAGGACCTCCTGCATGCTATAGATGCACTTTACCACTGAGCCAAACCCCCAGCCCCAG